AATGTTTTTTAAATAAAAATTCAAAGCAAATATTCATTATGTATTGTGGAAACAAAGTCTGATCAATCTCACTTTACTGACAAGCTATGTAGTGTAGCAGGTAAAGGCGGCTGTGAATAAAATGTTACCAAAAGTTAATTAAAAAATAAAATAAAGACCTTAAATAAACTATTGTAAATCAACAGCCAGAGCAATTATAAAGAAGTAATGTGAGAGCCTGCAGGCTTCTTTAGGTGATAATTACCTGACAGACTTATAAAACAATGAATAATTCTCATGCACCAGTCAGTCAGATTTTTTTTCTTTTGTTGYTCCCTTTCATTTTATATGCTTCAGTTAGATCTTACTTGATATATAAAATATGGTATAAATTCCCATCTCTGTGCAGACAGAATACTAAGCTGATTATTCACAAACTCATTTGAAATGAATCAGTATTGGCTCAGCATTTCTTTGAAGAAAATAAGGGGTAAGTTTTCATTTACCTTTTTAAGATCGTATGAGACAGAAGTGGTTGGTTTTTGAGCTTAAACAGTTTAGAAACRCCCAGAATGGAAGAATGTGGCCTACAAAAGTATTCTGCAGAACCTTAGAATTTTTGACCAGCGTAATTGTGTATTTTTTTTTCTTCTCTGTTATAAAAAACTGGGACGTTAAGATGATGCAAAATTGTGTTATTTCCAGCCCAGGTTGTTTTCTTTTTCAGAATACAGAACTGTATGTCCCTAAGCTGATGCTTGTTGCACTGAGTGTTCTCAAGCCTACTCAGATTTTTTACTCATTTGGATCTATGATAAATSTAAAACCGAATGTTTCTCCATAAATATAAAGATTTTACGGTCAATAGTTTACTCTGTGTTAAATAAGTTTTATTACAAATATTCTATTTTTATAAATAGAGCCTTTTTACTCTTACTTATAGTTCTATAAATAAAAAAACAAACAAAATGCACAATTATATTGCATCAAAATCACGTTTTTTCATTTCATTTTGAAAAATCATCTTTGTTAAATCAAACAAAAAAATAAGAAAAACAAGGTAGACATGAAGATAATGCTACAAAAACATTGAGCAATATTAAAAACTGGAATGATAATGACTTTTTTTTTCTGATCCTGTCATCTGGAGAGACAGTTTCAGAGAGGACAGCCAATTGCGGGGAATCAGAGAAACAATTGTTTGAGTGAGTGAGATACTGACAACTCAATGCTGAAAGAATAAAGTGCTCACACTTGAGTCTGGCCCAGAACTGACAGCATCAGACATAATGATGTTCACTGAAAGAGCCGGGAGACGCCTTGGGCCATGAGGCTAAAGCAGCATACCTTCTGTCCAATTCTGACTGCCTCGACGTGTTTCCACTCTTCTTTTCCTCCTCCTTTACATTTAAACCAGCTGCAACAGTAAGGGTGGTCTTATTTTTACTTTTTGAGATCGAGTGATGTGTGTGTGTGTGTGTGTGTGTGTGTGTATGTATGTGTGTCATTTTAGCAGAATGTGATACATATAAGAGATATCTGCTCCAGTGGGAACCACCAGAGAGGCGATTGTCAGTGCTTTGGAAGATGTTTATAAATCTCTGTCAAAATGTTCTGTGTAAATACATGAGATGTCATCACAGCACTTAGTAGGTTTGTAGCTGAAATCTAAATATGTGCTGAGCGCGATCTGATCCGTGACTGAGTTAGAGCTCGGTCAAATGACAACTGGAGTTCTTTCTTTCTTTCTTTCTTTCTTTCTTTCTTTCTTTCTTTCTTTCTTTCTTTCTTTCTTTCTTTCTTTCTTTCTTTCTTTCTTTC